TCTTTATTTCAGTCTGTTTTTCTTTGATTTTTTCTTTCACTTGGGGTCTTTGACTTCATAGTTGGCATTAAATTTTAAGTACCCAATTGGTGTCGTTGATTCATCGAATGAAGATAAAGATTCTAACTTGAAGCAAAGTTTCCAAATTGCACCCTGCTTGTCCAATGGTTTTTTTCCTTTTCTTTTTTGTGTCTTTTTCATGACATTGTTGCATGATTTGTGGTAATAATTATTTAGATATATGAAACCGTGCATATTATAATTAGGAGTGGGGAGACAAAATGGTTTCCCACGTGCATCTTCAGTCTTCTGAATCATCTTATCTTTCTATATTGATTTCCAGGGATTCTTTTATGCTTAGGATGGAGTTTTTGATCTGCCCCTATGGTGGATAATTGAAGTTTTTGGTTCTATCAAAAGGAAGCAAAAAGAGGAAGAAGCTATGGGAGAAGAGCAGAGTTTTCAGAAAAAAGATGGCAAAGCAGTTGACAGGTAAAAGAGATGATACACCACTTCACTCAGCCTTGAGAGCAGGGATCTGGAACTGGTTTTGGAAATGATTAGGGGCACTGACGATGGAGAATTAAGGGATTTATTGTGTAAGCAGAATCAATCTGGTGAAACTGCTTTATATGTTACTGCTGAGTGTGGTAATGCTGATTTGGTGAGGGAACTGATCAATTATTGTGATATAGTTTTGGCTGGTATTCAAGCAAGGAAGGGCTTTGATGCTTTTCATATTGCTGCCATGCAAGGTGATTTGGGTGAGTTCTTTAGTTTGCTCTACGCTCGATAATCATAATGAATGTCCAACCCTGCAATTTCTGTAGCAAATAATCTATGAAATTAAGTTTTTTAGTGAAGGTGAACATATTTTTTTAGTCATTTGATTCCTCCTAGCGTGTTCGGTTCTTTATCAGTGTATTTGCCTTCTGATAATCATTTTTTTTGTGTACCATCTCAGAGGTATTGAAGATTCTCATGGAGGCCAATGTTGATCTTTCAATTCCTTTTGATCCTTATAACACCACGGCGCTGCACACTGCTGCATCGCAAGTCCACGCTGTAGTGGTGAATTTCCTTTTGGAAAAAGGCAGCAACTTGGCAACGATAGTGAGGAGCAACGGGAAAATTTCCTTTTCAGCAGCAAGGAATGGGCATCTAGAGATAGTAAAGTCCCTTCTGTCTAAGGAGCCTGGAATCGCAACAAGAACGGACAAGAAGGGGCAGACATCTCTGCATATGGCGGTTAAAGGGATAATGTTTAAGTGGTAGATGAGCTGATAAATTTGGATCCTAGTTTAATAAATGGTTGATACTGAGGGCAATACTGCTTTGCATATAGGGACTTTAAAGGGTCGGATTCAGGTAGCTAGGATTGAAATTTTTGCTGATAGATCTTCTAGTCCCTCTTAGATTGTTGAAAAGACTGTGTGTCTTACTAATAACTAATTCAATCTTTCAGATTGTTCAAAACTTTCTAAATCAAAGTGGATCTCAGAAATCAGTCATCAACAAGTCCAGGGAAACGGCTCTTGACAGTGCAGAAAAACACAAGTTATCAGATATTGCAAGCATCTTAAAAGAGCATGGAGTCCAATGTGCAAAATTCATCAAGGCACAACCTGCAAATTGGGCTTGAGAATTAAAACAAACTGTAAGTGATATTAAGCATGGAGTTCATCATCAGCTTGTGCACACACACCAAACAAGAAAGCGCATGCAAGGTATAGCTCAACGGGTCAACAAAATCCAAGTTGAAAGTCTCAATAATGCAATCAACTCCACCACAGTGGTGACTGTTCTCATCGCAACTATTTGCTGCCATATTCAATGTCCCAGGCCAATATGCTGACAGTCATCAAGATAGTTCACTGGGAGTCTCTCCTGGACAAGCGAGAATTGCTCCAAAACTGCCGTTTATGATATATATTGTCTTTGACGCTATTTCCCTCTTCATTTCACTGGCTGTTGTGGTAGTGCTAACCTCAGTTGTAGTTATACAGAGAAAAGCAAAGAAGCAGATGATGAATATTATTAATAAGCTTATGTGGTTGGCTTGTGTACTGATTTCCATTGCATTTCTGACCCTTTCATATATAGTGGTTGGAGAAGATGAGAGGTGGTTAGCTAATCTAGTTACTGGTATAGGGACTGTTATCATGGTGTCAACGTTGGGGATACTTTGTTATTGGGTGATTGTGAACCGAATTGGGGCTGCAAAATTACATAGCATCTGGAGGTCTTCTATGAATTGCGGATCACAATACATGTCAATGTCATATATGTCTGACATGGAGATTCTGAACAATGAACACAAGAAACTCTATGCGGTTTGAGCTCCCCGCATCTTTTTATTCACTTGTACATGGACCTTATTAACCATAGCAGAATGTTAGCCTAGTGCTTCTCGCTGAAGCAAAATTGCAAGCTTGAGCTTATATAGATTGTATATATACATTCCTTCTGTAGTTCAATGGATCAAGTAAAACAATTAGTCAATAATCCGACTTCATTGTCTAGATTATTTGTTACGTTCGTAATGCTTCTGATTGCTTTTATGTCCTATCTTGCCAAACGACAATCATTTTAACCTCAGAACTTGCTGATTGCTTTCTTTCAAAGATGATCCAAAAGCATATCACTACATTACACTTAACTACATAAACTAAACATCTTTCAAATGAGTATAAGAATAATATATGCCTATATTATACTGTGCTTTTCCCAGGTCACATGTACTGTGCTCCTTTTCCTCTTTTTTCAAGATAACAAATGTACTGGTGACTGGTGAGTATTGCAGTGATTCTCCTGCATAGTTTCCTTCTGAATTGCTGCCATCATGGAATAATTAGTGACATTGATAGCCAATTCCTTTTACAACATTCACTGTACATAGAAATGCTTATGCTTATGAAGTCTGCCTTTATTGCTATTCTTCTTATGATTCAATGTTCCTAGGATAGTGCTTCAGTTTCACTATGTTCAGCATTAGGATGACCAACCAATAGTTTCTAGACTTGGGTGTGGCGCGTTCTTCATTTTGTCTATTTCGAAAGATGAAATTTACTCTCTTTTTTGCCCTTTTAGATTTGAATGTGAAAAAGACATGCCCTGCCTCCCTGTCTCAATTTTTCAGTAATTGTTTTCAATTTTTGTCATTCTGTCTGAATTATGGATGAACTTGGAAATTTTTAGAAAGGGGTTATCTAGAAATGCAGGCTAAAAACTGCTGATAAAAGAATTTATCGTTTCTTTGTTTTCTCTTCGGTCTATGCTAAATGCAATGAACGTTTTCTTGTAGTCCTTTATGTTTTTTGTTTCTTGTTTAAGCAGACAGCGCAGACACAACCTACTAATCAGTTTCACCTTTGGTTTCTGATTTCCTAAAACATGCTACTTATCTGTCATACTGATAACTAAGTTCATCAAGTTTAATTTGAATGAGATGAGAGAATAGTTTGATTATTTTATACATGTGAACATTATGCTGAAGGTGCATTGTGCTTCAGAACAAAGTGTAAAAAACATGACAAGTTACAGATTTTTTATTTATTTTATTAGTTTTAGTATCTATTTCTTGAATCTACCCTGACATTTCCTCACATGTTTCACTTGCAGACAATGGTCCCAAAGCAAAACTTTCAACGAGTTCATTACTGAAACTTACTTGTAGAGGATGTTATGATTAAATGCAATGGTAAGATCTCTGTCAATCTGATCTGTTTCGTCTACTAACACCACATTTCGAAAAGAAGGTCAAATCTCATCTGTTTTTCAATATTGTAAGCAAAGCAAATACAGAAACTATGCATGAAAGCATATACTTTTGGAATCCAACTTTTAGTTGTTTTCGCATAAATAGTTGGAGTTTCCATTGAAATAAAGTTCCATTTCACTAACTACAAAGTGTTAGAGCCTTGCACTTCCTTTTTCTAACCAAATGGAGAAAAAAAACTTGACCATACAGGTAGGGAAAAGGGATTGCTTTTTTAAGTCTTGTCTGTACTCAACATCTGTCAAATTAGCTACTATGCAATTTCGTTATTTCCTTTCCCATCTTGTCAAAAATCTAGCAGGCACGTTTTGTTTTAGTTTAATGGTTAGTCGCAATCATCTGAAAATAACGATAAGATAGAAAGAAATTCTTTGCTTTTGTTTTGACAGTTTTCATAGTGATCAAAATCATTTTATAAAGAGCATACAATTTCAATAACATAAAGCTTTTATTATACTTTAGCCTTAATCATCAGAAAGCAGGTGGAGTGATTATGCTTGTCCTGAATAAAGCATCTGTTTTTTCCTTTAATCAAAGTTTTTTTAAGGTATCCAAATGTAATTTAAACCCACTTTTTTAAAGTAAGGTTGCAGGGTCTCTTCGCTCCTTGATGCAAAGTGTGTTATTTGAGCAGTAAAAGAAAGGCCACTTGTTATTGGCTTGTTTAAACAGTAATAAAGAATTTCTATCTGGGAAAAAAAGCAGCTTTTGTAAAATTCACAATTTTTACAGAATCTACAGATTTGAAGTTCTGGTGCTCTTACTGGAAAAAAGTTTTTATTTTTATTTTTGATAAGAAAAAAGTTTTTATTTTTAATTTTTAAATTCTGGGGATTCATTGCTATCAACAGGAATTGACTTTTAAACTTAGCATCATCTGTGTAAAACTTAGTTAAGTGGTAAAAGATCATTGTCAACTGTGGAAACTGCAAGTCCTTGTAAAATAATGTTTTGTCCCAGTCCAAGGGGGAAAAAAAGGAAGAACAGTTACCGGATTCAATCAACTCTAAATATCTTGAGCAAGTACAAAAAGGAAAGCCATATAATGACCATTGTATTTAATTATAAAACTTCCATGGTTTTCAATATGTTCTTCCACATAAACCTGTTACAGTAACATTAACAAATTGATTGGAATCTCTCACACAGGATTGACAATGGCACGCACTTTAGAAGAACGTAAGAGGAACTGGCTACAATTTTCCAGTGTTTTTTTCTTGTTCATATTCATATTCTACAAAGTCTTTGTTTTTCTTGGTCCCCACTAACTGAAATCTTTGAAGCAGAAAGTGAACAAACCCCAAGTTCAGTTGCAGTCTTTCTTGAACTAGACAGCTGCTGAGACTGCTTACAGTGAGCAATTGCTCCCTGGATCGAATTCTCGATCTCAGAATTCGCGCTGTTGCTTCTTTTCAGCAACCGTAAATCATGGAATCCACTTGAACTGAATGAAAACGATGAAGACGACGAAGAGGAATTGGATGAAGATGTTGATGTTGATGTAGATGTAGATGAAGATGAAGATATTATTGTAGAATGCCTTTGAATTACTCCTGAGAAAGACCTCCTATGGCTATTTGCAGCATCCTCAGCAAGCTCCTTATCGATGCTCTTCCTAATAATACTTGATATCTTATATCTGTCATTATCAATCTTCCCAAATGGATTCTTCTTTGCCAGTTTCATGTACTTGTTTACACAATCGTTATTCTTCGAACCGTTACCTGCTTCCACATTGCATGCTGCTTTTGCACAAGATTCATCCGAACAGCCAGACTTGCTAAACAATGACTTGAGGTACGCCCGAGACGCCTTGAGCTTTTGGCTTATTGCGGACTGCTTGAGCTTCCGAGACCAGGACGCCTTCGAAACCAAACCGTTGCCAATAAAACCATTTTCGGTCGAACATTCAAAGAGATAGTCATCGGCATTTAGTTCACAACTGACCCTACAGGATTCTGATGGTGAGAAGCTTGAGTTTTCTTCAAGGGGTATTCGAGTTTTGCACTCCGAGGCAGCATCATCAGAACTTTGTGTTAGGCTCTGAACCATTTGCAGACGAGGAGGGAGGTGGAGGGGAAGGAGCTTACCCTTGTAGAACAGTTCATCTGCTGGATTAGTTGAAGAAAACTCTCCATCAGGAGAAATTAAACACATTTGGAACTCAAACTCTCTACTTTGAGGTGGGGAACTTATGGAATAACACAAATAGTTGGAGGGTGAGCTTATCTCCTTATCAATATAATCTTCATCTGCATGGTTACTGGAAGACTCTTGGCTTATGGCCATCATTTGAACTCTCAAAACCCTCACTTTTCTCTCTTGTTTTTGAGCTTGGTGGTGAAAGAGAGGGGTATCCTTTAAAGTGAAGATGGAGCCAAGCTTGTAAAAAAGAAAATCATTAGGAGTTGTCAGATCTTTTCCATTTCTTTTTGCCACCTTTTTTTTCTACTTTGTAGTAATATCTTGAATGGTTCCAAACAATAAAAGTATGGATTTTCCCCCACTCAGCTGAACAGCTTCTGACTGGCCCATTTATTTAGGGTTTTCATTTCTTTCATTTCACTTTTTTACATCATTTACCAATTCTGAAACTGAATAAAGCAAAGAATCTTCTGATTACCATAGTTATTAAAATCATTAGCCAATGAACTTGTAACACATGCAAACTAGCAAAACTTTAAAGGATGAGTTTGGAACCATATGATCCAATCCCTATAGTGCAAGAACTGTTTAGTGAAACCCCATGTCCATGTACTTTGAACTTGAAAAAATGTGGTGCAGAAGGTGTAAGAATCTTCCAATAAACCATCAGAAAGAAAAAGGTGACAGATCCCTTTGTTTTTGCTGAAAGTTTCATTGTAAGCAGTCGCATACATATCTCTTTCAACGGTGTTGAAGAAAATGAAAATAGATCAAAATAGCTTATAAGGAGGAGTCTTGAATTTAAAGTTATATGATAATGACATGAGTGATGAATTGATGATAGAGTATCCACTTGGGAGTTCTCAAGGGTTTTAAGCATATCAACGGTCTGCCTGCCTCTGGTTTAACCTCTGTCACTCCGACTCTTCATTTTCTCTACAAGTTCTACACATATTGAAATAGGGTATTTTGTATTAAAATATAGTATTGATTCAAAATCTTTCTTACACATTGACAACACACACCTTACAGAAGTAGCTGCTCGAATCCAAGAACTCTAGGAGGAAACATAGTCCCATTTACCATTGAGGCCACTCAATGATGTTCATTCGTATTCAAGTTACTTTAACCATACATTTGGATTAAAGCTTTTTTTTAATATAAACAACATTATTTACTGAATATAAAACAAAATACCAATTATAATATAGGTTTGTTGTTTTCTGCACATCCGTAAACTTCATTCACTGCAAACATTATTTAAATTTGAAACAAAGGGAAAACCAGGCAGACCTGTTTCCGAAACCTGTTTTTTAGCACTGTCAAGTTTTACAATTCAAAATAGTGAATAGACTATAGCCTGAGAGAGAGAGAGAGAGAGAGAGAGAGAGAGAGAGGTATTATCATATTGAAAGTTTCAAAACCTTTTAAGCTAAGCTAGGCTTAATATTAAAGTATTCTCCAAGCACTTGTATATGATAATGATGCATCAGACTATGTAATATATGCCGATCGGTATTTGACTTGGTCAAAGCATGGGAGATTTCTAGATTTGAATCTATATATATATATATATCCAAGGTACTATTTGAATTAATTGATTAACGAGTGGGATATATTAACTTTTAGGGTAAACTACACATTTAGTGTCCTAATTATCACTTTTTTCTGTTTTAAATCATACCTAACTTTACATTTTGGTTTCATTTTAGTCACATGTCATTAAAAAATTAACAGAACTGTTGTTGTGACAATTAAAAAAAATCAATGATGACATGGTATTACCTTATGGTCACACTTCAACATCAACGTTAATTTTTTAACGATGGATGACTAAAACATAATGTTAGGTATGATTTTGAAACAAAAAATAGTTTAGTGATCAAAACAAAATAAAAGTGATAGCTGTGATACTAAACGTGTAGTTTTACCCTCAACTTTTATTTTTTTTTATTTAAGAAAATTACATTCACCTCTCTAGAAACAAACACAAGCTCCATTCACCCAGGTGAAACCCAATGTTTAGGTGGGTTTACTGGGCTTCTCTTGTGCTAACTGTTCAGTTTTGGTAAACAAGACCTTCAAAGCCAGCAGCAATATATTCAGTAAGCACATTGAACTTTGGATATGCAGTTTTGCACATTATATTCGATCCCTAAAATCAATCAATTATAGGGGAAATGAACAAGGACATAATTGTTTTGTTATGATAGCCATTTTCTTGACATTTTAGACTTTGTATATGGTTGTTTGGTAGAGACATTTACAGTCAATATATGCATATATGGACACATGATTTTAGGTTTAAGGGCGAACTAATAAAATTTTAGGATACGAAAATGAGTTATCGATTGAAACTATAAAAGAAATATTTAAAATATATGCTAATTTAAAATTATTAGAGGCCGACTGTCCTCACTGGCCCCTTCGATGTAAGAGCAATGAACCTTAGAATATTGGTTTGAGTAAACTAATCTGAGGTGGTAGACTAAGTAAGATCGGAGGAAAATCCATTGGCATGAACTCAAATGACCCAAGGTCATGAGATGACCCAAAATAATAAGGGGAACAAGCACAAACTATATTGAATGGATGTTGGTGGAAAATACCTATTTCAAATTTTATTTAAATATTTTTATGATAAATTATATCATTAATAATTAAAATATTGTTTTTATTTTATTTATTATATTAACTTTTTGAGAAAATCGTTACACTATCAATTTGATGGTCAAGTATTTAACTGTTGTGGAAGAAGTCGTAGGTTCAAATCCCTTATGATAATATCTTATTTTTTGACAACGACAATAAAGGTTTTGATGGTATTTTTATAAATTTCTAACTTAACTTAGAGTTTTAGTAATATATGTCACTATTTTATTAATCGAATAAAATTAAGAAAATATCACATAAACTAGTAACAAGTAAAGATAAGATGATATAAAAAAATGACGTGTTGTTAATATATTTAAGCATGTTTCTTATTTCTTATATTATAGGATGATTTTGGTGATTCGAGTGTATTTTGCAATGTAAATATATCATTTTTGGGTAAAGGTATCAATGCTTCATAAATCGGTATGGATGTGCAAGGCCAAAGTACTACAAATATGCTCGAGTATTTTTTATAGTATCGATATTACAATCATACGTGTCGGTCTTATAAGAGTTTGACTTATATTTGATTTGACTTAAATTAATTAGAGAAAGTAAGAAATTTAGTTTGACTGAAATATATTAAATCAAACATATAAGGAAGAAATACATTACATGAGAAACACATTAATGTACTGTCTAAAACAAAAATCTTATTTTTCGAGAATAAAGAAACACACATACATTTGCATTTGTTTTAGGCACGCTAGCGATGAAATCTATAAAATGCAAAAACTCAAATAAAATATAGACAACATAAAGAATATGTCTAGAAACTAACAACCGTTCATCAGAAACATGGATTATGAAAGTTTCAGAAAGAAGGTTATTATTAGTAACAAGTAGAGATAAAATGATATAGACGTGTTGTTAATATATGCAAACATGTTTTTTATGTTATAGGATGTCTTATAGGTCGAGTTTGAGTTAGGTTATCATCACTAGATGATGATTAAATTCGAATAAAATTGAGTATCTAACTTGATTTGACTCGTATCTAACTCAATCCGAATTGATCCGAAGATTCAATGTTGACTTAAATCGAAAATAGCTGATATGATATTGACACAACCCGGAAAATCAACGGATCTAATTTGACCCAAATAAAAAATCAACCGATCTAATATTGACTCGAACCCAAAATAATCAATATGATATTAACTCGACTCGACCTAATTTATCATAAATCGAAATTAAATCCAAACCTAATATAATCAACCTGAACTGAACTCAATCTAAATCAAATCTGAATATGAGATAATTCAAAATAATATGATCCAAATGACTCATTTATCACCTCTAAGTAGATCTTACCAAATGATATAATAGTCATGTTTATATATATATCTAAAAAATAATTTAATAAAATATACATTAATCTTATATTTTTCTAACAAAATATTATAACCAAACGATATATCAAGCAGACATTTCGTCGAACAAGTTTTGAACTTACTTTCCTTTCAAATTCCAATCCTTCACACCGCCTTTTATCTTTGTGAGAATTACCATTTTCCTTGTCGATATTAGAAACTACCAAGGGTGTTGCAGTTGAGTTTACACCAGGAAAGCCATTGATGAAAACAGGACTCATCATCTCATCCTGAAAACGACGTCTTTTTAAGGTCTTTCTGATACGGCTGGGTTTTGGTGTTCTTCTTCCTTACCTCGACGCCAAAAGCCTGACTTATGAGATGATGCCATTAAGTAGATGAAAAGCACAAGAAAGAAATGAATGAGGACCGCAAATTCATTGCTAAACAAACTTCAGTGGTCGCCGACTAAACTCCAGGAATCACTCCGAACTCTATATCCACCCAATTTTAATCTCAATTATGGCGCGTATGGTCACCTTATCCAATACTTCACCAACCACCACCTCCCTCATCAAGCCAAGCAACTCCATGGGCGAATCGTCCTCTCTTCAGTCACTCCCGATAACTTCCTTGCTTCAAAACTTATTGCTTTCTACTCAAAAACCAATGGTCTTCCACGAGCTCACCATTTGTTCGAGAAAATTCCCCAACCAAATACCTTCTCTTTCAACGCCTTGCTCATCGCCTATTGCCAACATAACATGTTTGCTGACACTTTAAGGCTGTTTTCAAATTTTCACGACCTTATTAGGCCGGATAGTTTTACCGTTACGTGCTTATTAAAGGCCTTAGCTGGTTCATACTGTGAGAAAGGGTTGGCTAAGGAGGTCCATTGCTTTGTTTTGCGAGGTGGGTTCAATGAGGATATTTTTGTTTCCAATGGGTTGATCTCCTGCTATTCAAAATGCATGGAATTTGGCTTGGCTAGAAAAGTGTTTGGTAAAATGGGTGAAAGGGATATTGTGTCGTGGAATTCGATGATTTCTGGGTATTCTCAAGGAGGATTTTACGATGAATGTAAGGCATTATATAGAGAAATGATGGGTAGTTTAGAATTTAAGCCTAATGGAGTGACCGTACTAAGTGTTTTGCAAGCTTGTGGACAGTCCAATGATCTTATTCTCGGAATTGAAATTCATCGGTTTATCATTGAGAATTCAATTGAGATGGACATTTTGATTTGTAATGCTCTGATTGCGTTATATGCAAAATGTGGGAGTTTGGATTATGCTAGTGAGTTATTTGAGGGTATGTGTGATAAAGATGAAGTTACTTACGGCTCACTTATTTATGGTTGTATGTTTCATGGGTTCACTGACAAAGCTATGGAGCTTTTCCGCCAATTGAAACACCCAGGTTTGAGTACATGGAATTCTGTGATTTCGGGTTTGTTTCAGAATAAACAGTATGATGGGGTTATGGATTTAGTTTGGGAAATGCAAGCGTGTGGTTTTAGACCCAATGCTGTGACACTTTCAAGCATTCTTCCTACCTTTTCATATTTTTCGAACCTTAAAGGAGGGAAAGAGATACATGCTTATGCTGTTAGAAATAATTATGATCACAACATCTATGTTGTAACTGCCCTTATTGATACTTATGCAAAGCTAGGTTTTCTATGTGGGGCACAACGGGTTTTTGATCAATCAAAATGTAGGAGCTTGATCATTTGGACAGCAATAATTGCAGCATATGCTTCCCGTGGAGATGTTGATGCAGCTCTAGGTTATTTTCATGAGATGCTTAATAATGGAGTTCAGCCAGATCCTGTCACATTCACTGCACTGCTGTCTGCTTGTGCTCATTCAGGAATGGTAGATCAAGCTCAGAAGATATTTGATACCATGCCTGATGAATTTGGCATCCCGCCCTCAGTTGAGCATTATGCATGTATGGTAGCGGTTCTAAGCCGAGCTGGGAGACTCTCTGAAGCAACAGAATTTATTTCTAAAATGCCAGTTGAACCAAGTGCTAAGGTCTGGGGTGCATTGCTACATGGGGCTTCCGTTTCTGGTGATGTTGAACTTGGGAAGTCAATTTGTGATCATTTGTTTGAGATAGAGCCTGAGAATACTGGAAATTATATCATAATGGCAAACCTATATTCACAAGCTGGCAGATGGAAAGAAGCTGATATGTTCCGAGAAAAAATGAGGAATATTGGGCTAAAGAAGATCTCAGGCATAGTTGGATTGAAACTAGTGGAGGGTTACAAAGCTTTATTGCAAAGGATAGATCGATTGAAAGAACTGAAGAGATATACTTTCTATTAGAAGGGCTGCTTGGTTTGATGAAGGAAGAAGGATATACTTTATACGATAAGTTTGACGAGGAGAATGTTTATGTTTGATCATTGCATATTGATCGACATAATCATTGCAACCCTCCCAAGGATTCAAATGCACCCTTGAGGCTTTAATTCGTTTATTTTAAAGAATTGCTAAAGATGTTGAAGACATGGAATCCTTAATGCATTTCTCTTTTACTTGTAGCAGAAAATTGATACTTGTTGGCTAAGTGAAGGGGCACTGTCCAATTCACATGTAAACTTTCTATTTTCTCTCCTGTGCAAATACAACTTTTGAACTTGATCAAAGGCATCATTACTTTAAAACAATTTTAGCATTTATTGATCACATCTTGCAGACATGGAAGTCTCCAGGATCATCTATTTTGTTTGCTTGGTAGTCTTTTTTTTAATTTGCATTTCTCTTAAGCTAAGGGAAACCTCTGCTTGTACCTGAAACATTCTATCATGAAAGTAAGGCTATTTCAAATGTCACTCTTGGTAAACAGTAACACCCAAGATTTTCAGCTCTTTAGTAGTAGTGTTTGTATGACATTTCCCCCTATGCATTAAAGAATGTGAAAATGGACTTATTTAGCCATGAATGAAGAGAAAGAATCGGAATTTGTAGGTGTGAAGGACGACAACTGACCGTGATGAGCGCACAAGCTTCATGCTTACCTTGTTTTCTCTTGTTAAAAATAGAGCTTGTAATTGTACTCATAAGCCATAACAGACGATAGGATGAAGTTCGAGGAAATGGGTAAAGCTTTTCTTTCTTTCTTTTTTCTCTGCTTGTTTTATTGCGTATCAAAGTGGGAAGATATAATGATAAGATAAGATAAGAAATAGGGTGTCAACAGATTCTTGAAATGCACATAAACTTACTGACAAAATGCCTACTTTGGCATTTGCAGGCCAATGTCATAATTCTAACCACCAACATTCCCCTCTTGGCTCACATACATGATAACCCAAACCTCTCAATGTAATTTATACTCAATCAATGTGTACCATTAGCAGCAAATCATAAACAAATCTCACCTAATTCACGTGGTTAAAGGCTTTACTTCAATATTGATGCTGAATGTGGATCTAAATTAACAAAGGTACATACCTTATTAAGTACCAAAAACCATAACAATAAGTATATCTCAGGGCCTATTTGACCACTTTCTAAACAAATAAATAAATAAATAACAGTGGTCCACTTCTTGAAAATGAGTTTGCTTGAAGCTGTATCATTTGGCTATTCATCTTCATCAATTTTCTTTGAGTGCAGTGAAAGACAATTTAAGATTTCCGTTTGACTGATACATGTCAAAATCTCAGCAACTAAAAGGTTAAACACTTTATTCTTTTGCTCTCGTTCTCAATTCCTTTTCTTGTGTTAACCCCAATTTGCAGAATGTTAAAAGAAGTGTCATAAAGATTGTGGCAGTGCAAAAGGCTAGAGTGAGGAGGAAAACAGTAGTCAAATGATGTCTTTGAAGAAGGATATGACATATAAGCCACCTGGAAAAGACAGAGGCCAAAGCCATTACCTTGGATTTTGCAACATTGTTAGTAGCCCAAGAGTCTTTTGTTTTGGAAGAACTACCCCAGTAATTACAGGCCATAGCTTACTGTGCTGTCATTTTAGTACAAAGTGCATGGTGAGTGGATTTCATGGGAAACGGCAAACTCTTTTTCCTCAACTAGTGTGTGTCATTGCTTGATAATATGATTTGGGTTTGTTTTTGTTTTCTCCTTCCAGTGAAAAGATGGAAAGTGATGAAGGATTGTGGACTGTGGAGTGCTTGAGGGGAAGGCTTCTTGCAGAGAGGCAAGCTTCAAATACTGCAAAACAAGATGCTGAACTTATGGGAAATAAGGTTAAGTTATTGTAGCCTTTGTTTCAATCGGCTAAAGAAAAAGATCTGATTTTTTTTGGTTTCTCCAATGCAGGTAATGGAGCTTGAGATAGAACTGAAAGAAGAGACCAAACTAAGGAACAAAGCTGAGAGAAGGCTCAAATTGCTGAGGAAGAAGCTTGAATCCCTCAAATTATTGCCTACTTTGGAAGAATCAGAGCACTGTGCAGTTTCTTGTGTTTCATCCACAAGCAGTCCGAGAACCAAAAACCCAGAAAAAACAGCTTCCATGTCTCAAAATGCATCAAAAATCATGGAGAAAAATGCATCAGACACCACTACTTCTATAAAATGCTTTGAAATTTCTTTCAGCAAAGAGAATTGTAACTCTCCAGGGACTATTAAATCTGATACAAAAGATTCTTCCCATGAGAAGTCCAGTGTTAAACCAAGTTCAGGCCATGAAGTTCCAAAGGTTGATGACACAAGGTATTTCCCCACATTTATCCTACTGATTTTGCTTTCACTAAATATTTAATTTGATCACTTTATATAATTCATTTTCAGTTCTTCAAGCTTGAAAGCTTCAACAGTGGAGATCGATAACGGAAAAAATGAGAATTTTGAGGATGGTGGTGATGATGATTATGTTGATAACACGTTGGCATTGATTCCGCTTTTCCTACCAGAAGCCAAGATGGCCCCGGAGATAAAGATAGCAAAAGTATAGGTGAGGTTCTTGAGACTCTAAAGCATGCCAAGGAAAGAATTCAGAGCTCAATGGAAAGAAAAAATGATTAGAGTAGGGCCATCGTGAATTCATATAAAGTAGACATCATTTAGATAAAATAAAACACAAAGTGACAGATGGTCTTCTTGCATTGAAACATAAATGGGGAACATAATGTCGCTTGTACTTATATTTGCCTTAATCAAATCGTTTGGTCGGTGCTAAGTTTTCCTATAGCATATGGCTTGGGGATGTGACCCTCCATTGAGTCCATTGGCTCAGTCCCCAAAGCCTATTAATATGCACTTGTTTATATCCTTTTTCTTTAGGTTAGAATTGAGTTTTTTTATTAGTACGAAGGGATTATAAGGTAGTATATGTTTAAAAGATTTTCAATCATTTTACAATAAATGTAGATATCATGTTCAAACCGGGACCTTTAGAAATAACAATATCCCTTGACCATTAAGGTCGCTTGGTTCGTGCTTAGAATTGAGTTTGATTAGCATTATCTGAGTTTGGGTTTATTTCATATAATTGATATTAGTTTTACTGATATCTGATTCAATGTTTGGAGTTTTTTATCAGTAGTATAAGTAAATTTAGCAAAGCTCTATTCATTGTGAAGCTTGAAAAGAAAATTCTGTTAAAAAGTTGCAGGACTTTTAAACAACATTCCATGTGCATAGAACGATGGAACAATGATCTGCTAGCTTTTTGACTGGTGTAAATCATGCTGATTAAGCTTGCTTTCGTGTTGTTGAGTGTTGGGGGACCTATTTTTCTTGTGATTTCTGTCATAACATTTCCTCTACTAGCCAGAATCAGTTTTAAAACAATTTGATTTTAGAGTAGTAAATCTAAAAATATATTTTCAATAAATTTTAGAAAAATCATTAAAAGATAAAAACAATTAGATTTTTACTAAAGATTCATTTTTAAGAGTATGAGATTCGATTAAAAAAAACACTCCACAGCTCAATGGCATAATGGTAAAAAAAGCCCTCAACTCTTGCTACTTTTTTCAATGGCATAATGGTAAAAACGCTATGCATAGAAAAGTATTTTCTTTGGTAATTCAAATTCTAAAATTTCATTTTTTTTTCAAATAAACTCTTTGTAGGTGGTTAATTAATGACTTACATTTAAGGGTGCAATTAAAAAAATCAAGACAATTAATTTTATCTAAAACACCCAACTGTTTATGAGGCTATTAGCACCCCTAATATTCCAGAAAAATAACTTCATGATAAAATAGGAGAGGAAATGCCATTATCCTGCCTTTTCACCTTACGAGCATTCTTCTTATTTTTCTTTAACCCATGCATTAAAACGGCAACACCCTTCGCTACCTCCAAACTTCCCTGGAATCAGTGGGAGAAACAACAATCGATTCAGCAACTTGAAATGGGAATTTCAACCACTGGAACAGAATTACCCTCGGTAGAAGCAGCAGCAAAAACAACATTATCGGATTCAGCCAAACTTGTACGATTCATATCCAATTCTTGCTCAATAACAGCAGCCTGGACAGCAACCAACTCAGCCCCATTCATAGCCAATTCTTGCTCCAAATCAGCAGCCTGATCAACAACCATAGCTGCATTAACCGAGACAACCTCCTTAGCTCCAACAACACCACACTTATCTATATATAACATGAACATCGCTCTGATCAACTTCTGTAGCAACAACTAGTACTATACGATCAACATTACACGCTGTTTGAGACCAATCAGGCACCTAAGGAACCCAAATCTGCTGACTGACCTTCCTATGCTCACAACTTCTTTCGTTGCGACCAAAAACACGACAATGAAAGCAACGATGAGGAATCCATGGAATGGCTACCTCAATCGATGCCATGGTTCCATCACACAATTGCACGTTAATAATCTTTGGCACTCTGAAATCAGCCTCCAGTTTCACACATACCTTTGCAAACGCCAATCTATGTCTATGGCAGTGAGTTCATCCTTATACAACGGAGTACCCAGAGCTCTAGCTATGTAAATCAGACCTGAACCAGTGAACAACTCTGAAGGAATACGTTTAAGATGGACCCACGGAATCCTATCCATATTGAACCCCGAAGATCGCTTATTAGGCTCCCACTCCTCAAGATAATTGACTTGTTCTGGATATGCCACAGTCCATTCGGAAACACGTATTCACACGAATCCAGATTCGAAAACTGAAACAAAAATAGATCATCCCCGACCAAATTGACCTTAATATCACCAAAACGTCCCCAAAGTAATTTGACTAACCTTTGTATAGTGGAAAAATTAGGCCACTTACCCAAAACTTGAGCAACAAGCAAATTCTTCCAGACTTGCACTCCCGCATCAAAAACCTCCACTGACGGCTTAATCTTGACCTCCCCATTCCCGAGGTGAGGCAAAAAAAAAACTAGAGAGGAAGATCCTTCTGAGCGACGAACAATTGCCTCCGGTTGATGGTAATTATGTGTTATCATGTTAATCTTACTTTAGACCGTCATATTGAACTGGATATATAAATTACATTTGTGGATAATTTTGTTATGTCGCTCGACTTTGAATTAGTTTGTTGATAGTATTTTAATAATTTGATCTATTTTGGTTCGTTTATCGGTATGACAGATATGATCTTATCCACCTTTTATTCGAGTTTATTTGATTAGGTCTTTTAACATTTTTCTTGTGTAGTTCTTGGTCTTAAGTGAAAATTTTTCATGTATTAATGATTATAGGAATATGTATTTATTATATTTTTAATTTATAGTTTTAGTTATAAACATTTATGATAAATTGAATAATTTCTATTTTTAGTAAAACTAACAGTTTCTATAAAAAAATTTATGGTACCATTAAACCTATTCTAAACAATAAATTTAACCGTCTAAAATTATCAAACCAATCAAACAATCTTAATGGTTAAGGGAAATATTATTATCTTTAGAGGTCTTAAGTTTAATCACGTGTATGTAGGATGTGTTGTCAATAACTAAAAAAATTATGAACAAAATCTTCTAATCATCCTAAATTATTTCAAAAAAATGTTTAAAATTAACCTTATTTGATTTTTTTCACTAATATAATGAATAAATCAATTCATTTATAGTGGATAGATTAATCTGAACCGATGGATCCCATTTGTGGATTACTCTCACCCCTTACGCTCCTACCTACTTTAACAGAAGAGGAGGTAAAATAAGGTGACATTATTGCAACTCCAGGCTACAAGATTGACAAATACAGGAGACTGATTTTAAGTTTTCTTTGTATCCATCCTCAGCCATTAATGTTGTTCTACAGTGAGATGATGGTGCTCCATGGCTGGAAATGGTCCTAGAGGTCAGGTGGGCGGTGAGCCAAATTTGAACTATATTGCTGTGCAAGTAGCTGAAAATAAAAGAGCTGGAATGCATGTACCATATCCAAAACCAGGATAATGGACCCCTTTTCCCAGCTGTTTCAAGCTTTTTCAACTCAAAAACAGTGTTATCCTTGATCAATTCATCAAAACCAAGCGATCAAATAAAAAAGAAGTATATATATATATATATATATATATATGTTGTTTGAATCCAAATCTAGAGGATTGCAACTGACAAAGACATCAATGGAACTTTGCTAATTGAGAAGGAATCCGATCCTTTTCTTCTTTTATAGATATTCCTCAACAGCTTTGCCGGAAACGACAGAGGAACTGAAGTACTGATGGAAAAAGTGCAGAATAATATGAGTAAAAACCGACAAGATATATTATATTCTTAATTAGAGAATAATGATAATAATGAGAGTAAATTTCCATTACAAAGATTTTAAAATTTAATTATGCTCCTCAAATGAGTTTAGGAGTATGAAATTGTGTTATTACAGAATTTCAAGCACGGAATACTGTTGGGTTTATTTCAAGTAATAAAAGAAAAAAAACTTATAAAATCTCAGCCATGCAATAATAAATTAGGTTGAGGACAAGTAATGAACAAGAGGAGAGTAAAAAACAAGAAAGGGAACAAAGAACAGTTACAAAAACAATGTCAGACGTCAGTGATTTAGAATCTCTTTTATTTCTCATCTTGGATCTCATCTGACAACAAAACCCAAGATCTTCTGACATAAAACTCCAAACTCTTTTTTTTATTTCTTTCTCTTATCCATTGCTTCTTCTTTCGTCACTTTGATCTCAAACCAAACTCTGTCTCCTCCAAATCCCAAGGTGCTTTTCCAGCTAAGTCTGTTGCTGAAACACGCCACACGGTGAGGCTGCCAAAAAAACAATTGAAACCCATATTTCAAGGTACACAGCGCCCAGCACACCTCCATATTCTCTGAACTCACATAAAACTATTGCTTCCTTGTCTCAACTACACGCTTACGAGTTGAGTTAGCCCATACCCATCTTTGGTCCTTGTCTGAGACTTGTCAGACACTCAGATTAATGGTGTCTATTGGATAACTCTTTGGTTATATAGTTTCACCTACTGGGATTCTAGTACGTTGCAGAACAAAGACAAAAGCTTAACCCCAGATTGATTCTTGGTCTTCTCGGTTCTATACATTTGAAATATTGGTTGAAAAATGGTTAAATCCTGTTGGAATCCATCGGCTGAAGTTGATTCTTGCGGCCGTGTTGATGGTTTGTTGTGGTATAAAGATTTGGGGCAACATGCTTATGGAGAATTCTCCATGGCCGTGATTCAAGCCAATAGTTTGTTGGAGGATCAAAGCCAACTCGAATCAGGGTCGTTGAGTTCGAGTGGTTATGGACCTTATGGAACGTTCATCGGTGTGTATGATGGACATGGTGGAACCGAGGCTTCCCGCTACATCAATGACAACCTTTTCAACAATCTTAAGTGTTCGTTTTCACTTAAAACTTTGCTGATCTTTAGTATTGCTAAATGCTTATTTTGCTTCCCCTTTGATGTGCAGCAATTGCAACCGAGCATCAAGAAATATCAGTGAATGTTCTTAGAAAAGCTTTCTCTGAAACAGAAGAGAATTTTCTTTCCCTTGTGAGAAAACAATGGCTCGGTAAGCCACATATGGCGTCGGTGGGATCGTGCTGTTTGACTGGAGTGATCTCCAATGGATTTGTATATATTGCTAATGCTGGCGATTCAAGAGTGGTTTTAGGCAGATCAGGAAGAGAAACAAAGGGGCTTAAAGCCCTGCAATTATCCACAGACCATAATGCAAGTATAGATGCTGTAAGAGAAGAGCTTCGATCATTGCATCCCAATGATCCACACATCGTTGTGATGAAACACAAAGTTTGGCGTGTCAAGGGCTTGATACAGGTTTGTATTCTGGTATTTTTTTTTCTTTCATGAAAAGTTAAGAAAGCTGAACAGAAAGTGAATTTAAGTTGTGGGTGTCTTTTGTAGATCTCAAGATCCATTGGTGATGCATATTTAAAGAAGGCAGAGTTCAACAAAGAGCCTCTCCTGCCTAAATTTAGACTGCCTGAACCTTTGCGAAAGCCGGTCCTTAGTGCCGAGCCATCGTTGTTAGTTCATAAATTATACCCTAATGATCAGTTTCTCATATTTGCTTCTGATGGTCTTTGGGAGCACCTTAGCAACCAGGAGGCCGTTAAAATTGTCCAGACTAGCCCACGCTATGTAAGTTCAAATATTGCAGAGAATTGCTGATGTTGGTTGAGCATGTTTTGACACTTATTTTATATCACCCTTTTTAATACAGGGAATTGCTAGGAGACTTGTGAAAGCTGCACTCAAGGAAGCCGCAAAAAAGAGAGAAATGAGATACTCAGACCTGAAAAAGATTGATAAAGCGGTGAGGAGGCATTTTCATGATGATATCACAGTCATAGTTGTGTTTATAGACCCCCATTTGATCAATGGGAGCTCCTCCTCCTACCCATTATCGATAAAAGCGGGAGAACTGGCTGTTGCTAGCGGTGGTTCTCATAGCCAGCCAAGATTGGAGTTAAATTTCTCAAAATTTATCCTCCATAGCCATGAGAAAGGACTCTTTCTTTCATAAAGCATTGTCATAGGGTAATGATAAAATATGATTTGAGACTGGTATTTGCCAAAGAAACTTGGGATGAGACTGCAAGATAAATCTGTAGATATGATTTCCATGTAATCTAATAGTTGATTGTTTTCTTTTGGATTAGATAATCTCATCATCCATTGAATATATTCTCCGCAGGCAATCTTCAATTTATAAAACCATTCCCAACTTTCAACGTTTCTCTCATAATCAAATGCTGAACAGCAGTAGTAACATATAGACGATAACATCACAGACTATTTTGTGAAAACAAAGATACTAATATCTAATTATGTTTTACTTAATGCCATTTGAACCATGAGTATGATGACACATAGTAGAGATATGCATACAAACATGAAAACAATGCATGCAAGCACGTCTAGAACCATGCATGCTCATGCACATATTCATCAAAAAGGAAAACATGTCATATCTATTAAAACAAGCAAAGTACTTACCACTATAGCCCAGGGAAATAGATGTCAGACTCAATATGAATTACTACTGCTGTCTAACACATGATTACAGAATGAAACTTAGAAAAGTATAAGCTGCCACCATGATATTATCTTTAAAAAGGAACAAATCAAAGAACTTGGGGTGAGACTGGTAATGATAAAATATGATTTGAGACTGGTATTTTCCAATGAAAGTTGGGATGAGACTGCAAGATAATCTGTAGATATGATTTCCATGTAATCTAATAGTTGATTGTTTTCTTTCATTCAGAACATATTGTTGAATGTTGGTAACATCCCTCGTTCAGTATTCAAATATATGTTTCTTAAACGTCGACTTGCTCATATTCATGTTTGAGAGCAAGTTAAGGGTTTAGGATTTCATTCTTTCTTTCAAGAAAAAATTGTTGAAATGAACCAATTACTTGAAATCCAGCAAATGCATTGTTAGAAGTACATTTTTATTCTATTGAATTCAATAGCATGAGAATTGGGATACCAATTTTGTATATTAAACATCAACTTGTATCAATAGTCCACTTTAGAAAAGGTTTATGAAAACATAAGAGAGTGTTTCAAACCAAAGAGAGGTGTACGAAATTTAGAGAGATCGTGCTAACCTCAAGGATTGTTCGTTCATTGTAGCGATTATACACGTTGGGGTGAATTCGCTTCCAAGACAATGGATCACCTCAACACAATTATCGTTGTGTTTGTTTTTTTATTTAGGTTTAATACAAAAAAGTGCCCAAACTTTACCATTTTTCTCATTTAGGTGCCTAAATTTTTTTCGGTCAATCCAGGTGTCTAACGTTTCCAACACTACACTTTTAGGTGTCTCAGTAATAACGGACGTTAAACTCCACCGCTAAGTGACAAGTGTCGCATTTAGGTAATTTTGAAATTTTTATTTTAAAAAAAATAAAAATGTATTATATTTAAAAAATCATAATTTCTCTAAAATTACTAAAAAATCCAAATCCCAAAAAAATCCTAAAATCATCCCCAAATCACTAACCCTAACTTACCATCTCCATTGCTGGCCACTGACGCCACTCTTTCCATCCCCCTTGTCTGCAGTCATCGTCATTTTCGTCATTCTTACTGTCGGGGACGCTTGGGTGTCGCGATCTGCAAAGTTTTTTCTGATCATCGGGTCGTTGTTGGAAGCGTAGATGGGCACTCAGTAATTTATAAAACTCGAAATATTATTGATACGAGGTAAAATACGTTACAATGACGTTACCCCAATATTATAATATTACAACACTATAACACTAGCTGCGGCTAGTTTACAAACACAACCTCAATATTCAAAGTTTTGCTAAGCTTTACCCTCTCTCTCATAACTTTGCTAAGCTATTTTTCATTCCAGCTTTTCTAAGCTTTCATTCTTTCTTACTTTTCATACATTTTAAAACTAATCTACATACATATTTATAGGTGTAGTAATCGACTTATTTTCAGCTCTGTGGATGCTTCTTAATTTCTCTCAATTATTGCCTTAATACTTGCTTGTCGTGAATGAATTTGTGCTGCCAATTCTCTTTTGTGGGACCGTCTTAATATGCTTAATAATTAAACATGTGCATACTGCCAAAAGCTTTTCAATTTTGCTTATTTCTATTCTTTGTTGTTGCCACGTTTTTTATGTCACCATTATACCGCCTTTGACTTTTCAAACTTCTAGAATTAAGTTTAATTTCTAACACTCTCCCTCAAACTTAATTTTCCATTCCACGCTTTTCTCCGCTTATCATCTCTAATCGATTCTTCATTTTCTGGCAAGTGTGCGCTGCTGTGGCTATGTATTCTTCTTTGCTTTTTCGACACCTTGTAGAGATTTTTGCAAAATCTCCCACGCTTGTTTTGCGGTTTTTGCATCAGAAATTTTTCAAAGGTAGATTCGTCTACTCCTTGAAAAATAAAGAACACCGCTCTTTTATCTTTTTTCCGGGATTCCTTCAATACCTTCTTTTCTTCATTGGCCATGACTACTTCTATTGCTGCATTTTCAGGCTCGGTGTAACCATCCTCGATGATATCCTAACAATCTTGAGAGCCTAGTAACGCCTTCATTTGAATGCCCCAATTTCCATAATTCGTATTTGTCAATTTCAGGATTTGAGGTTGAATCATGTTGGTCATCTTCTCCACCACGTTAAACTCAAACCAAGCTCTGATACCACTTGTTGGAAGCGTAGATGAGCACTCAGTAATTTATAAAACTCGAAATATTATTGATACGAGGTAAAATACGTTACAACGACGTTATCCCAAAATTATAATATTACAACACTATAACACTAACTGCAGCTAGCTTACAAACACAATCTAGATATTCAAAGCTTTGCTAAGCTTTACCCTCTCTCTCATAGCTTTGCTAAGCTATTTTTCATTCTGACTTTTCTAAGCTTTCATTATCACTTTTCTAAGCTTTCATTCTTTCTCACTTTTCATACATTTTAAAACTAATCTACATATATACTTATAGGTGTAGTAACCACTTATTTTCAGCTCTGTGGATACTTCTCAATTTCTCTCAATTATTGCCTTAATACTTGCTTGACGTGAATGAATTTGTGCTGCCAATTTCTTTGTGGGACTGCCTTAATATGCTTAATAAATAAGCATGTGCATACTGCCAAAAGCTTTTCAACTTTGCTTATTTCTATTCTTTGTTGCTGCCACGTTTTTTATGTCACCATTATACCGCCTTTGACTTTTCCAACTTCTAGAAATAAGTTTGATTTCTAACAGTCGCATGGGAGGAGTCAAGTTTTGGGTGTCGTAGGGTGGTTGTTCAGTTCGGTGGAGGTTCCACCGAAGGCGGACTGCGGGGGTCGACGTGGGTATAAGAATTAAAATTAGGATTTTCATAGTTTTTGGGATTTTTTCAAGATTTGAGAAACATTTTGATTTTTTTAAATATATATTTTTATGTTTTTTAATTTAGAAAAATTTCAAAATTAATTTAATGTCTGTTACGACCGAGACATCTAAAAGTGTAACGTTGGAAATGTTAGGCACATGTATTGACCAAAAAAAGTTTAGGCACCTAAATGAAAAAAATGATATAGTTTAGGCACTTATTTTTATATTAGTCCTTTTATTTAATATTTTTGGATCAATGTTAATGCCTCCTATTGTAACAGTATATTTTTCTGCAGCTTTTGCCTTCTTCAAGGTTACTTATGCAGGCATGCACCGAATGTTCTTTATTATAATGGTGCGGAGGAAATTCCGTCGCGCTACATAATGCGTTGTTGGTGTAAAGATTTCAAGTCTCGGCATAGGCTCCACTGACGTTGTAGTCGGTTTATTGGCAAAATCACTTGCATAAATGTGCGGTTCTAGTTGTAGAAGGAGGAGCACAATCTCAGAAACACTATATAAGATTGCACTGCATGAATTGCAGGAATTATTAAACATATTTAATCTTGTAGATCATAACAGTGCACTATCAAATATTTAATCTTGAAAGGAGGCAAATGGAGCAGAGATGACTGAAGAAGAAGCGGGGACAGATTTTGAAAGAAAACATATTAAAAAAATGGTAAATTGAAATTTTGTCCTTGAATTAATTTGGGTTTACAAAAAAGCCCATACTTAGTATTTTATCTGAAGTTTATAGGTTAGAATAAAGATTAAACTCTTTTACTAACGTCTCATGTCATCAAACTAACAACATTCAACATCTAGGTGACCAAAACTTAATAAAATGATAATGTAAGTGATTAAAACTTAAATTTTTTGATTTAGTGAGAAAAGTATACAAATATAAAAGATAAATGACAATTGTAGTAGTTTGTCCTTTATATTATTTTCAAAAGACTAAATCGATCCTTTTTCAAATGTTTATCCTTTATATTGGCCGATGCCGTCGTTGTTGAAGTTTAGAACTCTCCATTGGATTTGGTCTAAGTAAGACAAGGAAATAACATAAGAAAATTCCGTGACAACAGCTTAATACGTATTTTTTCCTATTATGTTATTATAAGGAACATTCCAACATAAATATCATATACTAATATGATTATTATTATTTTTGTATTTTTTTTTGTAATTTGAGGTAAGTTCAAAGTAATATCTATGTACTAAAAAAATATAATATCTGCTCAAAGATAACTCTTAATCATTTGACATTGAACACTCACACTTCTGGCATTTTCATAGTGCTCTAACTCTGGACCTTATAGAATAATATCAATTCTTTTACCACCGAGTCCACCTGATTTATGTGTAGTTTTCATTAATATTGTTAGACTTAGGTATTTAATTTTTGATTGACCAAAATGAACAATTTCTCTAACAATGATTTGAGGTGATCAAAATAAAAATTCTAAAAATTAAGTGACCATCTGAATAGTTTATCCAAAGAAATCGAATGGTAAGCCATTTCCTCCATCCATGACAGGTTATTCAAACAAAATGAAATGTTATTTTTTAAATCATAATTAAAGGCTATATTCTTTTGCCAATTAAAAAGAATATTTGAAATAAACAAATGCTTTATAACAGAGGGTGCATTTTACAAAATTAAAAAATTTGAGGACGAATCTTGAAATTTACTAATGTTTATAGCCTCCGGGCACATGATGGTTGCTTTGAAACTTTATTAATAAAATTATTTATTATTTAGCTGTCATGAGAGATTATTTTTAGTATTGACAATTTCGTCACTGCTGACTATGCCTTTTAACAATTCCAAAAATTACATAAAGGCAAAGAATTCATTCCTGAAGGTGTACGAAACTGTTGAGCAAATTAAACTTAAGGCAAACTTTTGAAGCTGAATTCATCGACGACAATGGCTACTGAGTATTTGCCTCCTCTATTGGATGCTACTGCACAGGAACCCTCTCTGTTTGATGGAACTACCAGGTTTCACAATACACTTCCTCTGTTTTTTCTTTCTAACATCTATCTTGTTTGCTTGTGTTTATTGGTACATAATAAAGTTGACCCTTTTCTTCTTCCTTCTTTTTAAGGTTGTATATGACTTACACTTGCCCCTTTGCACAGCGTGTGTGGATCACTAGGAATTCCAAGGTTGTCTAATTCCCTTGGACTTGTTTTCAATTTTCTTTCTTTTCCCAAATTTTGAGAGTAAACTGTTGTGAATTTGGTTGAGTTGCAGGGTTTGCAAGACAAAATTAAGTTGGTCCCTTTGAACCTTCAAAATAGACCTGCTTGGTACAAGGAAAAAGTTTACCCTGAAAACAAGGTGAGGAGATCCACATATTATGTGTTCTGATATATGAACAACTCAAACAAAAAAAAAAAGTTGATCAATGTTCTTTTATTAATTATTTCATTTTCAGGTGCCGGCCTTGGAACATAACGGGGAAGTCATGGGGGACAGTCTTGATTTGATTAAATATGTTGATAGCAACTTTGAAGGGCCATCTCTTCTACCTAATGTAACATCTGTTGAATTGTTTAGTGCTCTCGGTGGAGATTTCTCACTTTACCACATACTAAGTGATCTCTTGAAATTGTTTTAGGATCCTGACAAGAAAAAGTTGTTTGAAGAGTTGTTATCACTCACGGACAAATTTGCAGGGATGGTATTTACTACAATTAAAGGAGACTCAACAACTGAAGCTGGTTAGTCTGAATAAAACATACTTGTGTTTTACTGAATGTATCTTGTATTTGCATGACATGATATGATATGCATCAGCTGCTGCTTTTGATCTCTTGGAAAACGCTCTTACAAAATGCGATGGCCCATTCCTCCTCGGTGACGAGTTTTCTCTGGTAAGTTGGCTCACCAGTGATCGCTAAATCACTTTCTCGGTGCTGTAATATTTTCATCGTCTGTTTCTTAAAACGACACATGAATGATTTTGTCATTTGCAGGCGGACATCGCCTTCATTCCTTTTGTTGAAAGATTCCATATGTACTTGTCGGAGGTGTTTAGGTACGACATCACAGAAGGCAGGCCTAAACTGACCGCATGGATTGAGGTATAATTTAAAGCATATATACACGCACACATGCATATATGTTTTGTCTACCATCATGTATGTTTCAGTTGCTTCAGAAAATGCAGATGAAGATGCTTCAGATATAGCCAATGTATTACTTGAGCGACATTTCTTTATCTATTTCAATTCTTGAACAATACTTACTATTGTCATAACTTCCTGATGCAGGCGGTGAACAAGATCGATGCCTATGCACAGACGAAGAAAACCAATCCAAAAGAATTAGTGGAACTGTATAAGAAGATATTCTCAGTACTGCTCTATTTATACCCTTAGATTACTAGTTTTTCATCATTGATTAGTATACCGGAAGTTGCTAACTACTGACAAATTCTTATTGTTGCAGGCCCAAAAGTGATGAAATTGCCAAGATCATATGAACATATATTAATGTGCGCTTGTGTGTGTGCATGAAAATAACATGTGCTTGGACTACTTATTTGTTCTCAGTTGAGAACCTATGTTGTACGAGTATTTACCACTATATGAATAAATCTGATATCTTTGTGTTAAATTTGGTAATTATAAATATATAAGTGTAGTCTGGTTGCAAGATGTGTTTTGTAGCTTAATTTTCAACAATTCTTGTTGATTTAGGACTTCTTCAAATGTGTTTGATCTTTAAGTGTTCTTGATCTACAATAGTCATGCTTGGACTTATACTAATATTCTTATAGGCTGCTATTTTTCCTCTTGAGATAGGATAAGCTTTCATTTTGAATCACAAATAATTATTATTAAAATGGGTAAGCTTTCATTTTGGGTAAGCTTAATTAAAATGGACTTATACTAATTATTATTTTTCCTCTTGAGATAGGATAAGCTATTCTTATAGGCTGCTATTTTTCTTCTCAGTTTGATTTTCTTCAAAATTGAAAAAACTCAAATCAAAACTTCAACCTTATCAAAATGAGTCTGTCTCAAGTTGAATTTTCCATCTTCCTTGATGAAATACAAGTTGAGATTGTCTCACTTTCATCTTTAGCTTATCAAACTTTGCTTGTGGTGTCTACCAAAAATCTACCCAAACTTATCACTAGCAATGGTGTGGCGTTCATCCATCTTTATATAACGTTGGTTCCTATCTCTATATAGATAGTGGGTCACGTTCTATCCACTTGTTATTAGTTAAAAGAACCATCTTTATAAAACGTTAGTTCCTATCTCTATATAGATAGTGGGTCTCGTTCCATCCACTAGATATTAGTTAAAAGAACCATAAGTTTAGGGTCTTCAGTTCTTATAGTATTGGTTCATCCTTAGGTTCCTTTTAAACTAATATCGAGCCTATCCTACAAATTTCACCATCCAACCTCCATCATATAATCACCTATCCAAATTCCATTAAGAGATCTTCCATCCATCACCATTCCATTTTATAAGAGACTCTGCTGTCGCACACTTTCAAACATAGATCTAATTCGAAGTTTACTTTCCTCGGGTGACCTTAATTCGATCGAGAACAAGAGTCTCGACTTCACCTACAAGGGCATGATCGCATCAAAACCTTTTTTATTTTCATTTTTTGGTTAATTAACCAAATTAATAAAAAATATTAAGTATGTTGCATATATATTTTAAACTCAAGCTCATTAAGAATTAAAATACTAACTATTGTAAATAATGGTTAAAAGAACTCCAGAAACTAACCGATAGAACATGATTAAAATGGTTTTCAAAGCACCCTATTGTTCAAGATCATGATGCCAGCACACCAAATCAAATGGGGTCTTATTATACAAGTATTCTATCTTCTCCAGTCCCCCTAATGTACAATTAAAGTCCAGAACAACAAATTATAAGAAAAGAATAAGAAAAAAGGTGGAAGGTCCATACCAATAAAACACAGCTCATCAAGCCTAACATTGTCAAATAGTCTAGACCAGTCACTTTGTGGTATCAGCCAGAGGATTTGATTTATCTCTTGTTCTGCTTGTTTTCTTCTTCACTATTCGTCACATGAATTGCCATCGGATGATAGGTCGGTGTTTTTCGGTGTTTGTTGCACAAACTGCCCATTGATGCGAGGTCGTTGTTCTGCTAGTCGTTTCCTGCTTTGGTACCGAACCTGTAAAAATCCAAAAGTATTAATAAAAAATTGAGTCAAAATTTTTCTGCTAGACTCTGACTACCTCGCATAGTTATTTATTAAACAGCTCAACGTTAATTACCCTTTTCTGGAAGCATCTCTCTTTCCTTTTCTGACGAAATTTGGTCAGTGTAGCTTCCCTATGAGCAGACTTACTCTGGTCTGCTTTGCTGCCGCTTCCGGAGCCACTCACATCTCCACTTCCACTTTTCCCAGCTATTCCGTTGTCGCTCTCCATGTTTTTCCCGACAGTATTGACTGCATTGCTACTTCCATTTGTCCCATTGCTTCCATGGTTACTACCTGAGGCACTTCCGTTGATACTGTAGTTGCTAGCATTTCCTTCAACAAGGCCTCCCAACATATTCGATGACCCACAATGAGGAGCATCTGCAGCTAATGTTTTCAAAGATAAATCATCATGTTCTGGGGGCTGCTGCTGCTGCATATCGTTAGTAAGATGGCGATGTTGATCATGATGGTTTGAGGGATGTTGCATTTTCAGTTCTTGATGAGTCCCTCTAGGTTGGGCTGGTCCTCCTGTAGTAGTTACATTATCGTCCTCGTCTAATACAACTTTCTGAGAAGTACTTAAAAGGTCATTTATCATAGGTTGGAATACAGCTGATGGATGTGAAGATCTGACAGTGGATGATATAGCTGACTTATTCTTCTCAGCTGCCGCCTTGGCAGAAGCATTGTTAGTAGTGGAGCCCATACCAATATTATTGCTACCGACATTTGAGCTTTGATTGTTAAGGTCATTAACGAAATGAGAGCGATTATCAAATAATGATCCTTTTCTAGTCAGTTCTAAATGATTATCAACTGCAGACGAGCTTCCAGTGTTGACAGCAGGAACCTTATTTGCATTTGCTGCATTATTATACCTGCAGGTAATAGAAATAATGGTCAAAACTAATCAGAATTCGGAAAATCTTTGTAGATTACTTTTCTGGGATTCAGTTAAGTTGAATGCCACAATGCAGTAGTCTCTACATTATACCTTGAGAAGGCAGAAGAGTCTGAACGTCTCAAAACATTTCGCTCATCCCTAACTTCAGTCCCAGCATCTTTAACTCCTCTAAGTCTCTTCAATCCGAGTTCAATAGATGGTAGTTCTTTAGAATCATTGATGGTTTTATCATTGCCATCTGAGATTTTGGAAAGCCTATATGAAGCCTCGCACTCAGCAATTTCCATCTTAGGATCAGTGGTCATAGATGTAATGCCAGCTTGATTAGCAGCTTCAGACTTTTCTTTGCCAGAAGGGGCTTCACTATTGAGGTCCAGCTGCCTTTTATCAATCTGTTCATTGTATTTGCTGGAGCTCATCTCAAGAAGGTTAATCTGTTTGGTTTCAACTGTTCTGATCGGAGCCTCAACTGGACACTGTAGTAGTAAATTTAAATCTCTAGGCTTGTTTACACCCAGTTCTTTTCCCATTGCAACGTTGTCTGCAATGGAAAGGATAAAAAAGGCTAAAAGAAGAGAAGAGAGACATGGCAGTTTAACCATTAAAGGAAAGAAAAGTAAAACAGGACTACCAGATTAATGATGTTGATCACCAGCATTATATGCTTCAAGCTAAGGATCTAAATCAGAGACTGCGCTTGTAAGCTACTTGGGTTCAACTCCACAAAAACTTAAATTCAGTTTGGTCATTGTCAAGTAGAACACAAGCCCAAGCAGCTAAACCCATCGGAGTAGCCAAGTTTGAGTGACTTAAAGCTCGAGTAGTTGGCTTGCCTAATAAAACCTTTCTTCTTATTTTTAATATATAATTGTTGTTTTTTATTTACTATCAGAATAATCTCAATTCGAACTCGTGTTTGAGTTTGAAGTCAACTATGGGAAATGACTCATCTTCACTAGATAAATGAGCCTAATCAAGCAAGCTCAAGTAGTTCAATTTTTTAATCTAAAATCCCTTGAACCAAGTATCAAGCCTCAAGTTTCAAATTGAGCTCAAGCTTCTTACTGCTTGACCTCGATTGACTCAATTCAAACCTACTTCAACCTACACATTTGAAATTCATGTTTACCAAGCTGTTCATCTCGTTCTTGGAACCCCCTTGCTGCAGCCACTGGCACCCCTTTGTTCCCAGATACTTCTGCATTTGAATGGACAACTTGGGCACATGTACTATCAGGGCACTCAGCAACTTTATCTGAGGGTGAGACTAGATGGGGGCTGTCAACCTCTACTGCTTGTTTTGTCCAAGAATTCTGCAAAAAGAAAATGCATTTGCAGTTTTCCACTACATATATTTACAGGTTTCTAACAATTTTATGAACTTTTCATCCAAGTTTCGAGAGTGATGAAATTCAACCATTGAGGATGAGGAATTCGAGATTAAAGCTCAAATTCCAAAAAGTGATTAGGAGGAAGTAGAATTTGTACATAATTAGCCCTAAATTTGGAATGAATAAAATGATTTGTGCAGACTACCGTAAAATTTTTGGATAAAGAATGAAGTTTTTAAATGGATATAGAAGAAGTGTTTTGCCACTAAATCTTATCAATGGAAATCTAATATTAAAATAGAGCCAGGTAGTTTTTCTCTTTCATATAAACAACCTTCATATGATATCAAAGTTGCGCTTTGTCACTAAATCTTATTAGTGGAAATCTATGACTACAATAATTTTTTTGGATAAAAGGGTGAAGTGTTAAAATGGAGATGTATGAAATTGTTGCCAAACAATAAATAATGCTGTTGGAGTCTTAGAGATCAGAATCCAGTTTTTTCTTTCATATAAACAACCTTCTAAGCAGAGGTCATTTCCTAAGCAGTGGTACGAGAGACTCAAATATTTTGATCGGAAATTAAACATTTCTTGTTTCTTGAGAATATGTACATCATTTCCTAAGCAGAGGTCAGCACAAGCAGAGCTAAATGTAATCCATGACTTATAATACTCATCTCATGCTTTTGCGGTTTCAGTGAAACATCGTGTCTTAATTTTTTAATGAAAGTCCATTACAGTTAAAATTATATATTTAAGTATTATAAATTGATGTAAACAGAATACAAAACTGCACTATCTGCACTATGACATAAATCAATGAAAGAAAAGCAGTTCAGATCTCAAGGTGCTCACCATAGTTCAGGGAAATCTAAGGCCTAAATTTCACTGCTAGATATTAACATCATAAAAAGAATACCCTGCAACTGAAGGACAGATTTATAATACCTGAGTGCCACTCCCGATATCACTGCCATCTACAACATTTAGACCACCACTCCCATTATTGTCCTCATCATTGCTACCGCTGTTGTTGTCAGACTTCTCGACGCTTTTTGACCCGACAGATTTTTGAGTTTGTGTTCCACTCTCACTTCCACTACCACTAGACTGAGGGAGCAGAAAATTTATCACTTTGCAAAGAAAACTATGAAAACAGAATATGTAACCAATTTCTCTCTCTCTGCTTTCTTTCGTCTTTTTTTTTATTTTCTTTTTTAACAAACTAGTACAAGTAGAAGTTTTCCTAATCGATACGGGTCCTAGATGTTACCTTCTTCATACAATTTAAAAATATAGTAATGGAATAGTTTCAAATATTATTTTTCTATTTTCTTGAAATCAAAACAGGAAACAAGAAGAAAAACTTGCTAGTACATAGTTTGTAGACTCTACTTATAATAGGGAATCTAAATCTGAAGTAGGAAGTTAATAACTCACACTATGGCATCTCCTCCAAACATGCTGCCACAGGTTCTTTAGCTCATTCTTTCGAACAGGCTTCACTAAAAAGTCAACGGCACCTTTTGACAAACACTTAAAGACTAGATTCATTGAATCCTGAGATGACATCACTGCATGAAGATATCATCAAAAATAGTTGTTGAATGTATCTACTCGAAAGAACTCAAAGCGAAAGCAAGAGTGAAAATGCTAGAACAATCAACAAAATGCAGGAAAGAATGGAGGCTTACTGATCACAGGAACATTTTTACGTGTTTTGTGGCTCATAATCTTGCTCAAAAGAACAAGGCCAGATAAGGAAGGTATTCCCACCTCAGCCAATATAAGATCGATGTGATTGGTCAAATCTTCTAGTATCTTCCATGCTTGTAATACATTTGCGGCTTCAATAACTGGGAAAATGAAGTGAATATTTAGGTTAGCATAGGCTACATCAGCCCCTATATTTTAACAGATAACTGATAAAGTGTTCCAAAATGGAAGAGCTTGTCGCAGGCATTAATAAAGATATCTTTTATAGAATGAAAGAAGAGATGAATCAGACATAAATAAACTGGTAAGAGATAAATGGGTATCATAAAATCTCATCATCAAATTCTAACCAAATACAGAGTCTATCGATACTTGAATAGACAAGATGCAAAGTACAATATGGAAACTTCTCACTTAAACTTCTATAAGCAAGCTGTACTAGGCTTAGTTTAATTTGGCTCTCAACAAGCAATATATGTGTGTGTGTGTGTGTGTGTGTGTGTGTAAAGCTAATTATTATTTATTAAATTAGTCTAGTTGAGATATCAGTTCTCCTTCCATGTGGCATGAAATATTACTAAGTTGCATGTATTATAAAAAAATATCCAAGATATTCTGACGCAACATCCTTGAAAAACTTTAGTCACTCACCATCATAACAGCAATTGCGCAGAAGTGCAGTGACAACATGGCGAGTAGAATCATCATTTTCTACAAGCAGAACTGTAACAGTTGTTAGATGCAGAAACCTCTGCCAGTAACACATTGCATTTTGAGGCTGTTGCTGTGCCATTTGCCGCATGGCAGGAGCCTGAAAAGCTCCAACATGACCATATTTCACATTTTGTGCAATCTTGTTAACTTTCAGATCATCTTCTTCTAGCATCACATGTTCCTCAGGGACGACACAGTTTGTAGTTCTCTTGTTACCAACGTAGACCCGGTGATTTACTTCCCGTAAACCTTTGTCACCATCGCTATCAACATTCATCGAGACACTTACCTGTAAATCAGATTACAAAAGACTGGCAACAATAAGGGCAGTCCAAGGATGGAACAGTAAAATCCTCCTCCAATTCAAAAAATAAAAAGTACATAGCTTCGTCTTCGAAAAGGCAAACTTCTGCAAAATACAGACAGTCCAATCTAAAACACAAGTAAATCACAAAGGAGATCCATAACTAAAAAGTTGGGGGGGAAAAACCACCACAACAAAAATGTTTACTCCTTTTAATCTTCAGAAACCAAACTCCATACTCGTAAGTTGCTTGCACCCTGTAGAAAACAACAGAGTATCACATCAAAATAATCAACCAGAATCCAACCATTAAGTTCAACCAAGTAAAACTCCCAATATTTTCCTCGTTTTAAGGAACAAAACCATAATGCTACAAAACAAGCTTAATCTTACACATAAACATGTAAGCACAAGTTAATTTTAAATTATTAAAATAAGTAAAAGTTTTAAAGACTTCTACACCAAGACCCTATTATCAAGCACCTAATATCTGCTCCTAAAATTAAAGCAAAACTTTTCTACTACTAACCAAAACCTAATCGAAAGATATAAACAATTCTAAGTAAACTACTGAATTGATTTTTCTTAATATTCTAGCGCTAAAAAAAAATCGCAGCTAAAAAAATGAATTCTATAACGAAAAGTAAGGGAATTCAACAACAGGAAACTATTCAAATCTGACAAAGTTAAACAACTTACAAGTATCACAAATGAAGATAATCCTCAGCAAAGATTCAAATTACCACAATTATTCAGCTGGATTGAAAACCTGTTTGAATTTAAAAATAACATTATGCAAAAACTAAGCAACATAATTAATTTCAAAGCGTATTTTTACATTGAAATTAAAATCTTCGGTTTAATACCAACAAAATTCTGGAAAATTATTGCAGATTATATTATTTTTAATTAAATAAATTGACCGCCTGAGAAATAGAGCGACTCGAAAGGAACGGATACAGGCGACCTTTGTTTGGGCGATCCGATAGCGAAGAAGATATTATTGAGACGAACTTGACTATGCTGACGTGGATAAAATGGAGGTATGGAACTTTCCAGAAATTCCACGTGGGATGGCTATATTTCCGCGTGGCAAAAATTTTGGAGGCAGATGGACTTGCTGAGCTGGACAAAATCAGAAGCCGGGAGCTCGATTGTCACTATAGCATCTCTAAAGATCTTGGAATCTCATGTGGACACGTGGCGTGTGAAGGGTGGGGAAGATCGAGTCTGGGGGTTACGTCGTTTTCACGGACGTCAAAGGCTGCTGGGTTTATGCGTTTATTGTTTGAAGTGTGGTCGTGACGACGTTAAGTTTGATGCATGAAATGACGAAAATAGGCTTGTTATTACAAAATGGCAAAATTATCCACAAATTTGGCTTGGAATTCAAATATGGGAAAATATCTAGTCGAGTGCTTGATACAGTGTGAGTGTGTTAAAGTGAATTAAGAATGAATGTCATTGGGCTTCGTAAATCACAACACTGTTGATGACACGTCACAAATAAAATCAATTAAATTAAGACAATTAAATTAAATTAAATTTATCACAATGAAAAATATTTATTTAATAATATAATAAAATTTACTCAACAAATAATTATTATTAAAGTGAAAAAGTTTTACATTTAAATTTATCAATTATATATTTAATCTAAATAAACAAAATCTTTATAACTATGTTTGTAATTTTTTTTAGAAAATAATATTTTATTAATTAAATTGGTGTTTGATTAACTCATCTTACTTAACATGTAGTAGTATATAGATTTTGAATCTATTTCAAATATTTATCTAGTATTATTTATTTTGTTAAGTTTTTTAAGATTTTTTTTAAGTATTATACATAAAAAAAAGTTAGTATAAAAATAAAGTATTATTTGAAAAATAATCATTTTTATACAAGATGAAGATTTAAAATTTTAAAATCTCGACTTAAAATACCATATATTAAAGTTAAAATATTATTTAATAATTTATAAAAATATTAATTTTATAGATTGTCAACTAAATTAATATATGATTAATTTTTGACGTCAAAATCAATTAAAAATGTTAATAGTTAACTAAAATTCCTTTTTTTGTTATTAAATAGCATATGTTAAAATAATTTAATAAATGTAAACATTAATTAATTGTAATGACCATTATTTATTAATAAAAGACAAAAGAGTACATAATGCCATTACTTTTAAAAAAAATTAGAATGTGATCCTCGAATTATTATTACATTCACTATGGCCCTCAAACTTTAAAAAAACTCAATGTGTAGCACCCAAAATTTTACTTTAAAATAATACTTTATTTATTTATTTAATTTAATTAAGGGACCAAAATAAATAATTTTGAAGATTGTTTGATCAAATTCAAATATATAAGAAGTTTAGGGACTAGTCCCGTAATTTACATATAACCAAAAATATCATTTGACACCAAAAATAAAATCAATGGTGGATAGGAGACTTGAACACGTGACCTAAAGGATGGCCACCCCATCCTTTTACCAGATAACCTAGGTCAATATTGGAGAAAATAATAATAAAAGTAAATTTTAAGGGTTATGCGGGTTAAACAAATACCCAAAACAGAACCCCCATTGTCGTAAACCCCCAAAAATTTCCCCATCCAAAATCACCCTATTTTCGTTCAGTCACCATCGGCCGACGATGGAGTGCATTGTCATCATCGTCAGTTTTAGCGTCAACCGATGATCCAACCCCAACCCTCAGTTCACAAATTTGACCATTGTTCGTCGCAGTTTAGAAGAAAAATGTTCGGTTCTCCCCGTCTCAGGTCATTGCCGTCGATAATCGGTGTTTGTCACGACCACCCCCATCAGGCACGCTAGGCCACCGTGAACCAACCTCTGCCAGCACTCTCCACTAGCCACCGTCGTTCTTCGGGGAGAGATATTTGAAAGCTTCACCAAAAACCCATTTTTTCCCATCGGTTTCTCATAGTTTCTAGTCGTTCCAGCCGCACCGTCGCCACAGGTAGACTCTCCGTCGCCGTCCGCTCGAAACCCAACCGGTGGGTCTAGTTGTCGTTTTCCTCGTCGCTGGTGTATGTAAGCTCGGATTTATATTTCGATTAATTTTCTCTCAGTTTTTCTTGGTTTTGGTTGCTTTTTTGGTTAAACCTTGGTTGATATGGTGTGGTGATGCTCCCGGAGTATTCAACCGGTCGAAACCGCCTTGTCATCGTCGTCATGCGCTTGGGGCTTGTTCGTGGTCTAGTGAGCTTTCTAGAATTAGTTCGAGTTAACTCGAACATGTCTGTGTAACATCCTAAAACAGAGCTAGTGACTAAAATGTGAATTTTGAAAGTTTTGGGTTTGATTTTGAAATAAGTTAAAAGTTTAGGGACTTTATTGAAAACATTTTGTGATGGATGGTTTAGTAAAGCATGAAAGAAAGAGGGGAAAAAGTTTTCGGTTGGAGGACGATTATGTATTTTAAGCCAAAAAAACTACTGACGTTTTCATAATTTAGAACTGAATTGATTTGGAAACTTAATTGTAAGTTTTATTTCTGTAATGTTGGAACACACTGAGGTCTCTAACTCACTCCACCAAACTCTTCCCTTTCAGATACTTTTTGGATAAGTGACCCGGACTTGGCACTTGGAGGATCGACACATTCGTACAGTACATTTTGTTGTAATGTTTTTATCTTCTGATTTGTCATTATTTTTTGGTGACATGTGCCTAATTATTTTGAAATACATGTCTTGCGACTGATGTTAGAATTTCATCGATACTGATTTGTGAAAGATGTGGTTTTACTTAGTCATTTATGGTATTATATATTACTCGAATTAGAATTTATTGCTAATAACTATGTTTTTAAAAGGTGATTATTCATAATATGGATTTAAATTATCGAAGAATATTTTTGGAAAATTTTACTGTAACTCAGTGGATCTGGTCGTAACGCATAGGCATGTCTAGGGGGTTACAATGTGGCCCTTTAATCAACGATTTTTCGTTGATCATTACGATGTTGATATGACATTTTATGGTATTGATGTGACGGTCTACGATGCTAATGTGATGATCTACGGTGCTAACGTGACGGTCCATGGTGGATAATGACATGGATCTGGTCGTAACGCACAGGCATGTCTAGGGGGTTACAATGTGGCCCTTTAATCAACGATTTTTCGTTGATCATTACGATGTTGATATGACATTTTATGGTACTGATGTGACGGTCTACGATGCTAATGTGATGATCTACGGTGCTAACGTGACGGTCTATGGTGGATAATGACATGGTTTATAGGCTAAACTGATTTCTTTTACTAAGTTCGATGGAGAAATTGGTTTTTTAAGTTTATGGGCTTATTTGATTTTTTAAAATAAAATATTTTAAATTTAAAAATATAAAAATATTTTAAAAAATAAAATAAAATAAAATATCAAAACTAAAAATTAAATTGCTAAAAAATTAAAAATATATATTATTATTTTTTACCTCAAATTTAATTTGATTTTTATCTATATAAATCTAAACTCGTTCATCCTGTACAACTTTTATTTTATATATTTATCTATAATAATCTTAAATTTCAAAGGTCTTTCTAATTATATTTCACTAAATTTTCTAAAATTGAATTAAATAAATATTATAAAGTCTTATAAAATATAAAATTATGAAATTAAAATTTATTTATACATTATAATAAAATTATATATGTTAAAAATATAAAAAAAATAATTATACAACTAAGAGGGGTATTTTAATGAATATAACATGATAGAGGGAAATAGACTTTACCTAAATTTGATCTCAAAAAATTTAATAGGAAAATTGACATACCGACCAATTTCTGTTAGATACAACTCTATAAAGTCAAGATGAATATGGACTCTATGTGTTTGAGATTTTTTTTGTCACCTCCAATATATATATATAAGAAATAACAAATTCGTTTCTACAAAATAAAAATAAAATAAAACTCACATCATAATTGACATGTATGAACATAACAATATAATTATACTACTTAATAAAATCAAATTAAAATTAAAATTCATCTCTAAATTAAATAATTTGCTTAAGTATATATTCCTAGAAAGGTTACTCATTTTTTCAAGGATCTCATTGTGAAGATCAATCAACCGATTATACACGGAGAGTGAGATTTAGGCAAAAAATCTACTCGACTATGAATTAATGAGTTTGTTGTGGTTGAATATCATTTTAATTTGTATGAGGTGATATTATCTATGGTAATGAGTTTCAAATGCAATAAGATACATGTAGTAAAGGCCTTTTTTTGGAGGACTCGAGGAGTCACAAAAGTTGTGCAGCTTGAGTGTTTATACCAGCGGTTTTGTCCTAGAAATTTTGATGATGAAATTTTCTTTTATAATAGGACAGTTGTGACGACCCAAATTTTTGAGTCAATTTTTGAGTATTGACCTAAGAATTTATTTAATAGATTTATTATAGCATAAAGGTCCACCATTTCAAATTTGGGTTTAATCATGTAATAAATTAGTCTTATTGGAGATAAAAAAAGATTTTTGAGCTTGAGATAAATAAGGAGGGTATAATGTGTAATTAGAGCCAAGGGTAATAAAAATAAAGGAAAAAACTTAACACCCTTTTTTATCTTTCTCTTCACTTTGTTTTCTACTTCATCTCCTTCTTTATTTCCCTATTTCTCCATCAAGCAAGAGCTAGAGGAAAGGCTTTACCTTTCATCATTCCCCCTTCAAATCCGAAATTCTAAGGTGAGATTAATGATCTAGAGATCATGATCTTCAAGTTGAACTCATCATCTTTTTCAATAGTGTTTTGAGCCCTCTTAAGGTTTTTGGAGGGTTTGAGCTTCAAGAGCTCCCTCATATGATTTCTATTCAAATTTCATCAAGCATAATTGTTTTCTAGCAAGTTGTGGCTATTGTTTTGGTGCTAAAAACATTATGAGAGCTTGGGATATGTTGA